GCGCAGGGTAGCAGGAAACTCTCCGCACACTCACCGAACCTGGGCTAGGACTCTCAATTATCTCTTAATCTCAAAGAAAAGGGAAATAGTTGCAAAATAGTCTGGTAGCTTCTCATTAGTGTGGATTGGCAACAGTGATACTGAAAACATTGCAAGAGAGTTTTACCAGAAAGGGTTTGTAAAACCAAATGAATGTCTCCTAGTAAAAATGATGCAGTTTTGAAGTATTTATGACATCTTAGATTACATTTCAAAAATTTGCATATATAAAGGTTTTACCAGCTATTTCCCCACTGGGAATTTTCCTGGAGGATCTGAAAACATCATATAATAGTGATATACGTGTGTCTATGTTTATAGCAGCACAATTTGTGATAGTCAAATCTTGGAAACAACGAAGAAGTCCATCACCTGAGGAATGGATGAAAAAGATGTGGTAGATCTATACAATGGAGTAGTACTCAGCTACAAAGAAGAATAAACTCGAAGATTTTATATTTAAGTGGATGCCACTTGAAGATATATTCATAAGTGAAATAAACCAGACACACATGTGTAAATATCATATAGTCTCCCTAGTACAAGAACTCAAAAGAAGAAATACAAATACGTATAATACAAGTAAAAAGAAAGCAAGAACTTGAGGACTAGACAATGAAGAGGGAGCAAGGAAAAAAGCTAGGAAACATGACAGGGGCAAAGTCATATATTTATATGTACAAGATGGTTAAGGCAATGATCCTGAGAATCTTCAGCAGGTTTTTGAAACTAGCAGTTAATTGGTATGTTTCTAACCCTTACTAACTATATACGCTGATACCTGTGAACTAAGCAACTGCACTGAAGATACTAATGTGTAATAGTAGGGTCGTGTTTGGAGTGCTTGTCATTCTGGTCTTCTGAATATGTGCTGCTTGTCATGACATGCCGCATACTTCCATGTTGTCTCTCTGGTAGATGTTTGTTTAAAAAGGAAGGGGGTGGTGAATGAAGGCAGGAGACAGGAAAAAGGGTGTTGCCAGACTGTCCTGCTACAATGCTCTATATCATTAGATTTCTAAACTTCTGTGTAAAAATATGTAATGGTTGATTCCTTTTTTAAAAATGTATTATAATTTTTTTCTTCACATTCTGTAGGGACTTAAAGTTTAACATATCAATACTTGATGAAAAATTCCTCTTCCATGTTATGCCTATGATGTTTGATATTCAGACAAATAGTGAGGTTAAGCTCAACTGCCTAGGTTGTATGGTAATAACAATAAGCTTCTCTGCTGGAGGGTTAACAACCTAAGTTTGCAGACCAAAAAGTAGAGAAAAAGGAGGGCCACAAGGACAGCCAACATTTTGGCCCTACGCTTTCAAGTTCAGTGAAGACTCAGGACACAGGAGAACTTATACTATAACATGATGCAACTCAGTTGCGTCCCAAATTTTCTGATCAAGGAGATTATGGGGCCAAAGAGGAAAGTGATCAGTGATGCAGAGTGTGCCTAAGGAGAGTCACATGGAGAGAAAACATTCTCTCAGGCTTTCACAGAGAGCACATTGGTCAAGCAATGGCATGACTCATTTGCATGACTGACACTGACAAAAGATCTACAATCTGAGATACAGGGCTTCAGGATAAAACCTGAGGGGATTTGACAATGACCTTATCAGATACAAAAGCTACATTTCTTGTTACATAGGTCTTGCTTTATCTTGGTCTTAACCATCCAGCAGAAAAGTATAAAAATGAAGTATAAGAAGTAAAGCCATGACTTTTGACATTGCCAGTCAAGCAGAAGATCTAATACTATCATGGACTACTGGACTATTTTGGAATATTTTGCTGAGTGCACACACCTATAATATTTAAATGATGGAACTAAACAAAAAGGGGATACAGATGAATGTCCATTTTGTATCTGTGTGTTCAAAATCGTTAGGATAGATATATAGCTACATTCTATTAGTTCAATAAGTAGAGGGATTTGCTCTAATAGGTTTTGTAAATAAGATATCATGTCTGCATCTTGTGCAAAAAATAGCCACTAGGAAGACTGTATGCAATGTGTTAATTATTGAAACTGTCCTACTAATTTGATTTGAAACTGTCTCATTGCTACTCATTTCTCAATAAAATTATGGGAAAAAAAGGGAAAACCACTTTTGTAAACTATTCTTTAAATGGATTACTTCATGTCACTTTTTCTGGTTAAGTAAATTTGTAAATTGAAAGAGAAAGAATGTAACAAGATCAGATATATTTCTCAATGCTAAAAGGACTTTTCCTACATTGAGAATAACAAAGTCTTCTTTGTATACCATAAGAAAGCTTGGGAAGAGGGAAGAGTTATGGAAATACTCATGACATTGCCTCATACTCTGAACATAATTCTATGTTCTTGATAAAAATATTGACAAATTCTACCATAACTCTCTGTATGTCCATATATGCATTTTTTTCTTCCCACAAATCAAAAACATACCTAAAAGTATGTTTTCTTATTTCTCAAACAAATACGTATTCGTGGGGAGATATATGTTTACTATTTAATGGTAACAATAGATATTCTTTATTTGTCAAAGACTATAATTTATAAAATATAGGCAAAGTATTTTCATTTGATTAGAATTGACTCACAATTCATACCCATAATCACTGATAATGTTAAAAAATCATTTGAAATGTATTTGAATGGAAAGAATCATGGATAGTGACGAGGTAAATTTAGGAAGGAAAGCTGAGAATAAAAGAAACTGCTAAATGCAAAGCAAGTATTTCAAGAATAGACTTGCATTTCTAGCTCTACAGAGTAAGTTGATATGGGTGCATTACCTTGGAGTAAAGGCTAGTAGGGATAAATCTAGGTTTTGAGGGTTTTTAAATTAAATGATCATCTTGAAGAAAAAACAATACAAAATATAAATGTAAAAGTAAATGTCAAAATGAAATGTTTTACAATCTGTGTGCTCTTTTATTTCCTTTACTTATGCAATATTTTTATAATATCCTTTTCTATAAAGAGAAATTAAAGTAATTCTGTCTTTATTCTTTCATTCTTCCTAGGTTGGGTGCTATAATTTCTGTTCTTATCCCCATTATTCTCTACAAGCACTGGTTGGGCACAAGCATAGTGGTTTTGTTTTGTATTACAGGAACTCTTTTTGAAAACATTTCTTACCTTTGATTAGTTAATACCTTAACTCTACACAGAGATGACTCTCTCTCATGAAAATATGTCAGTCTTTTCAAATTGAAATAAAGTGCAATTCATGTACCCTCTTACAAAATTCCTCCCAAATGCTAGTGATCATGCCAAAGCTATTTCCATGAGTAGAAACATGACAGAAGGAAAGTTATCAGTTATTACAAGAGAAAATATGCAGGTCTTCAAAAATGCATGATCCTAATACTAGAGAAACAAATATAACACACAATGTACAAATGTACAAGAAATTACAAGGTTGGTATATGATCATCAGCCACAGAGTCAGATGTGGAAGCATGAAGAGGGCATCTGCACACTGGGTACTAAAGGATTCAGCCCAAGGTCTGGAGCTTGCTGCAATGTTCTATGCAAGGCTGCATCAGGAGGCCAACGGGTCTGCAGTAAAAGGCTAAAGTGTCTACACCAGAAGGCTGAAGGATCCAACACAGAGGCTGAATAGTCTGTTGGAAGCCAGGAGACAATGTCCAAGATGACTGAGAAGACAGGAGCTCCTCTGAGGAAATGAAATGCTCTATATTTCTTCAATTCCCTTTTTTTATTAAGTGATGAGTCACCTTAGAGTGTGGAATTTCTAAGCTGATTTAGTTAGGCTTTTAACTTCTCAAGTTGACAAAATGTATCAACCACTACGTAGTGATAATGAACTTTTTAGAATTTTCAATGATATAAGCAGCTTGCAGCATATGGACTGTATCTTCAATGCTCCATAAAGGCTCAGTTGTTAAACATGTGCCATAGGTTTGCTACCACTGACTCATGGGATTGAAAAGGAATTATTTAACTTTTATTAGCTTCATGATATATCCACCTTTGGGTTCACGTTAGTCAGCTTTCTGTCACTGTGACAAAGTAGTTAAGATAATAAATTTATGAGGAGAAAATATGTATTTTGGTTGACTATTTAAAAGGTTTGCAGTTCATGATTGTTTGGTCCCAATGACTCTTGGCCTGAAAAAGAGGTACATAATGGGGGAATACATACTAGAGGATGCTGCTCATTTAATAATGGGGAAGAGTGAAAGGGAGAAAGCACGAGATGTGGTTCCCAATATCATCTTAAAGGGTACACCCACAATGACCATAATTCCTTTCACTAGCCCCCACTTCCTAAAGATTCCACTACTTCCCAATAGGAGTGTTATCTGGGGACCAAGCCTTTAATAACTGAGCCTTTATGGAGCATTGAAGATTCAATCCATAATAGAGTAATTCTAGCAAGTTGCACAATACTTCACTCTATTCTCATGGAGATAATAATACAAAGATCGAGAATTGAGTAAATTCTGATGTTTCTTCCATAAAATCAGGGTAGAATATAGAAGCTCATGTTCCTAATTCTAGCAGTTCACCACTCAGTCCAGCCTGGACTGAGATACTAGCTCTGATCATTTTCTCTTCTATTCATTCATTCACTGAAACATTTTTTACTGATCGATCATTATGCAACAAACACTAAGATTATTGAGACAAAATGGTGTGTAAAACATATGCAGTCTCTGTCATCAGTTCTCTAAAGTCTCATCCATGGCTTTGACATTTCTCATCTCTTCTTGTTCCTGAAAAATTGCAGGAAAAGGAATGCAAATCTTCCTAAGGATAGTATACAGAAGTTAAGAAATCAATTTGTCTTCATCTTTGTTCTTTGCAGTTTTGTGCTCCATGCAACTGCGGATAACATAGAGGAAGGATAGTATCATATAGGCAATGAACATCAATGAAAAATGATAGGGGAATACATACTATGTGAGACTTCTCTTTTATATTCTCATATGTTTCCTATCACGATGGCCATAAAGTATTTTTAGGCAACATAAATGCTCTGGTTCCTGCCAGACTTTCCAAAAGCCATCTAATTTCTTAGCACCTCAGGTGAATACCAATGAATCAAAGTCAATTATATGAATTTCTCACTTATCTCATTGGGATACACAGTGCTGCAAGCAAAACAGCAGTACTCTAGGGAGATTTCAGTGGGCTTTTCTATAGTTTAGAAAAGTAAGCAGGACTCTTTGAGCTTTAAAGAAAAAAATATTGATGCAAAGTTGTAAAAAATTAAAAGAAAAAAATTGAAAAGGGAAATCCTTGAGCAGAAAGAGATTTTAACCAGTATTAAATATAGAAGTTTGAATCAGTATTAAACTCAGCATCCTTGTTAGCCATGCCATATGTATGCTATTTTCATGAGTCTAAAATTCTCTGTCTTTACATAAACCTTCACAGGAATGTAGGTATCCTAGAAATCGTGATGGGAATTCTACTATCAAGTAAAAAGTGCAATGATAGAATGTGTATGCAATTTATTAATTGTTCCTGTCAACTATATTAATTTCTTAAAGTCTGATAGCCTCTCTCTATGCCAGTGATGCTGAGCTTTTTAGAGCTTTCAATGGTAACAAACAGCTGGCTGAAGCATATGTGCCATATGTTTGCCACCACTGTTCTAGGCCAAGCCCACACAATCTTTTGATGCAACAAAGAATAGCAAAAAGAACACAGAGTTTGAATTCTGGCCTTGCAGCTTTATTGGTATATATGATTTTTGGATGAGTTACTTATGCTTACATACCTGAATTTCAACTTGATCAACTTACAAAGAAGTATACTAATAGCTCTTACAAGATTTCTTTGATAATTGAAAGAAATTTTATATGCTCATAAAGCATGTTATATAAAGTAGGCACTAAATGAATGGTAGGCACTGCTATTTATGGATTTCAGCTTAATAACAGGGTAATCCTACTATAACTTGTTTATTCCTGTTTACTTTGGGTTAAGAAACACTTTCTTATAAGACTCATGATTTTTAGCTGTGAACCAAATTCTTTATAGCATTTTATTTTTTGCTGGAAACTAAGCAAGGTCATAAATCAATAATAACTCTTGCCATCTCAGGACTTATTGATCGTGTTGTTTATCTTCTGTAATGTTCCTGGAAAACTCAATTATTTTGGGAAGTCACCCAAACTAGTTTACCCATTATTCAGTATTAGTATTATTAGTAACAAGTTATGGAAGTATTAGGTTGACTTTCTTGAAAAAACAATCTCTCTGTGTGCGATAGTTACTTACCCAATAAAATTCTTAGCATATATTTCATAAAAGAATAAATCAATATAAACAGCTAGAGAGATTCTTTTCAATGCATGTATTTGTTGTGTATTGCATATATGAGTCCTGTTTTATAACGTGGCTCTTGGAAGTGATTTGAAACAGGAGCATCTTTTAAGATGTCTGGTGTACTTCCCCAACATTGAGTACACTGTTTGGTGTGAAAGTGTGTTCTAGGATTTAGAGATATTTAAAGGCTTCTGTTTTAATGCTGGATATTTATTTGAAAAATTCAGTATCCTTTCTGCTTCTTTTTTGGTTTTGGTTTAGGTTATTGAGAAGAGACAGTTTCAAGGAGTATAAAACTGTCTTTCAAGATGGTGAAGTGGCTTAAAATGAGCCTACTAATTTAAAGGTCAAAGGCAGACATTTCTCAAAACAAAATGTGACATGAAGAAGGGTAGTGTTGCCTCCTACTTTTCAGATATACATAGAAATTGCTTGCTATATGCATTAAAATTGCAAAATCTTAATGTAAGAAGTACACTAGATGTTTCTTATGACCAGCCACATTGGACAGATTAGAATAAGAGATGACTGTTACTTTACCATGTTAAGGCATTCACACAAGGCAATAATTTCCCTTCACTTTTGTTTTATTATATTTAGTAAGGGATATCCATATCTCCTCAGACTACATCAAGAATTTCCATGAGAATCATAAAACTATAATGTTAAAATCTTTATTTTTTCAATAATTTTATTGAGAAATAAATAGCAATGAGACAGTTTCAAATCTGATTAGTAGGACAGGTTCAATAATTAATACATTGCATATTGTTGTCTTAGTGGTTATTCACTGTACAAGATGTAGACATGATATCCTGTCCACAAACACCATTTGACAAATCTTTTTCTTCATTGAATTAAGAGAATGTAGCTGTGTATCTATCCTAACTATTTTGTATAAACAGATACAAAATGGTTGTTCACTTGTATCCCCTTTTTTCACTTAATTTTGTCAGAGAAGAAAATTAGATTGTCATTTAAATATTATAGATGAATGAATTCAGCAAAACATTCCAATATAGTCCAGTACTCTGTAATAGTAGTAGGTTTTCCATAAGACTGGCAATTTCTGAAGTTGTTGACTTGAGCCTTTTGCAGCTCAGCATATATACTTTTCTGCTGGATGGTTAAGACTAAGATAAAGCAAGACCTATATAACAAGAAATGTAGCTTTGTATCTGATAGGTTCATTCAAATCCCCTCAGGATTTATCCTGAATCCCTGTACCTCAGATTGCAGATCCTTTGTCAGTGTCAACCATGTATGAGTCACAGTCATTGCTTGATCAATGTGCTCTCTGTGAAAGTCTGAGAGAATGTTTTCTCTCCATGTGACTCTCCTTAGGTACACTCCACATCATCAATCACTTTCCTCTTTGGCCCCATAATCTCCTTGATCAGAAAATTTGGGACACCACTGAGTTACATGATGTTACAGTACAGGTTCACATATGTCCTGAGTCTTCACTGACCTTGAAAGGCTAGGGCCAAAATGTTAGTTGTCCTTGTGGCCCTCCTTTTTCTCTAATTTTTGGTCTGCAAACTTAGGTTGTTAACCCTCCAGAAGAGAAGCTTATTGTTATTACCCTACAACCTAGACAGCTGAGCTTAACCTCACTATCTGAATATCAAACATCTTAGGCATAACATGGAACAGGTATTACAAGATGTGTTGTCTTAAATCCACTCTGCCATTCCCCATCCTTCTCTATATCCAAGAACCTGACTAGTACAGATCTCATCATCAGACACACTTCCCTGTGGATTCTGGTTGACTTCTGACAATGAGGTAAATTATCCAAAGTGGAAAGATGCAAGAAGAAAAAGCCTGGCATATGTTATATCCCTGGCTTCTTTTCTACAACATCAATATGGGTTGAGTGTTTATCTTTACTCATAGCTACAAGTCCTGGTATGTAGCTTTTTTGTACAGATCCACTTTCTGAGTTCCAACCACTGTGCCTTCTGCTCATCCTTTTGGGCTGAAAGGTAGTTACCGGTCCCACTATTGCTAGAAGTGAAGACTCACATCCTTTGTTAGTGTGCTTATTGCTATGCTCATATATTTGAAAATAGTCTCTTTATTAAACTCTTCAAATTCTGAGGCTCTTTACTCTGCTTGAATGGGGACAAAAACAGTCAGTTAAAAAATAACAAACTCAGCATGAGCAAGGTCAGTAGCTCATCCTCATGAAAGGGAGTGTCCAGGGATCACAAACCCCATTCTTCTAGTAGCATTCGGGGTGCACAAAAAGACTACATCTCCACGGGAGCTGGTGGGGTGGGTTAGACAATGTCATAGCTCCCTCTAAGAGAAACAACAGATTACAATGTAAGAGGCCATGGTTTAATGAGGAAGGAAATGGCAAGAGCCAACAGGAAAGTATCTAGTTATAAACTTTTAACATGTGTGAACAAGCTTGACACTTTTTATGTAGCTTATTATTTGAAGTGGTCTTACTCAAAAGGCACAACTTTTCAATTGTGTAATACCAGAATAAAAACCATTACTTAGTTGTTTGTTTCCTTTGTAGTTTGGAAGTATTTTTAATTTGATATATTTTCACTTGTTGACTGTTGGTGTTCTTGTGAAATTGGGGTTCTGTTCAGGAAGTCTTTGCTTATATTCAGTTATTTTCCTGAAAGAATTAAACACACCATATTTCAGTGATATTTGCATAACCATGTTTCTTCATAATAGCTAAGACCTTCAAAGCAGGCTACATGCACACCAACTAATGAATGGATAAACCAGAGAGCATATAGGGCCAGCCAAATAGCTCAGCAAATTAAAGTGCCTGTAAGCAGGCACAGGGACCAGGGGTTTGATCCCAGGGCCTGCTGAGCCAGCCCTGCCCCAAGGGTGAGCTAAGATGGTGATTGAAACTGGGTGTGATAGCCAGTAATAACTGCAGCTTAAGTTCTTTCATGAAAAAACAATGGATAAATAAATGTCCTACTTACAATAATTTTCTGGACTTTCTAGAATCCAATTTCTCTAACTTCTTCAATCTGCTTTTCTTCTGTTTTTCTTTTGTCTGTCTTTATGATGTACCAGTAGGTGTTTCAGAAAAGCATCCATTATGAAGGAAGAAGATCAAGATAAATACACAATAAGAAAATAAAGATCTGAAAACCTCAAGTTAGAAAACAAAAGCATTTGATATTTATGAAGATTAATAATAGTTTTTATTGATGGAATAAGATTGTGAAGCTGAGTAAAGAACAAGAAATATCTTTTTAAAATAAATGGATAAAATATTGATAATTCTTTTAAAAGTACGTAATACATGGATGATAAAGTCAAGAAAATACATCAGAGACAAAGACATGGAAAAGGCAAGAAATACTTAACACTTATGCTTTATTTTAATGTATTTGTTCATAGAATTATAGTCACCTAAAAACCAAAAACACTCTTGAAATATCAAGTGTATTCTCTAATTGCATCCTCCAAATCTGACACAGAGAAAAAGCGGGTAATTACATTTTGGCTCCTAGAAAGAGTGGTCTGTGTTCCAAATGCATGAGAAATCTTTTTTTTTCAGCTTCCAGGTGCATAGCATGATTGAAACTTTCAAGTGTCAATATTCAGCCCTGAGGCTTCTCCAACATTTCAATTCCATATATATTAATATCTGCTGTATATTTCACTTTTCCATAGTAGTCTTCCAAATACTTAGAGACAGAAAACAATAGACTAGGATAGTTTCCTTTTTGAGAAGTATTATCCTCAACTGTGACCTACTTAATTTGGAAGAAATTTTAAATTTTTTCTAAAGATTTTGAAATCAGCCATGTAAGGAGAAACTAAAGGGCCCCAGGGCTGAGGAATGATTCCATCTCTTCTTGTAGTTTCTTGTCTGAGTAGCAGTCAGCAGAGTTTTGTTTAAGTAAATCCATTGTATTATCTAGTATTTCTTGAAAGTAATAGAGCAAAAGTGCAATACCAGCAAAGCAATAAGTATCTGACAATTCCACTTGCAAAAGTGTTATAAACTGATCAAAATAATTATCAAGAAAAATTAAGTTTTTAAAGACACAATTGCCCCTCAGTCTGTTAAATCATTGTATTTTTATTGTCTGAATCTTACCATGTGTGCTAGGCAACAGAGTAAACACACTAAGCACACCACTGCAGAAAACTGACCTAAATAGGTATCCTTCCATGTACTTTACAGATTAGAGATCAAGTCTAAGAAATAACTAAAAAGTTTTTGCAAGATACTGAGAATTGGAAACCGAGGTTTGAACCACCATGAAAAGTAGATGGTCTTTCTCTTTACTTCTCTACCACTGAGCTACTAATTGTGCCATAGGACCGGGCATTTTGTTTATTATTTATAAAATAGTAATGATGTGACCTATGTTTCTATTATTTTATATTGAAACTGTTTTTTTTAACTTTTCATGGGAATTTCTATGAGGAAATTTTTCTTTGTCGGTTCTATTTTGTGTTTGTTTCAGTAAATATGTACATGATGCTAGACGTTGGGTATATGGAGTGGAATATGGCCCTTTTCAGAGAAGTACACGGAACCCTAAGTCCAAAGCAGCCAATGGTTTTGATAATGTCTTGAAAATTTCCATAAGACAGAAGAGTAACAGATGAAAAGGCATATTAGGTGATACATAACCATTTCCATATTTCTCAGATAAAAAGTGTTAGTCGTGTGTTGCTTCTGTATTCATTCTATTGGGGATCATAAAATGACATCCCCAAATATGTTGCTTTGACCTTCAAACCTAGGGATTAGCAAGTGCACAGAAGTTCTTCTCTGAAGTTCCTTCACCTAACTAAATACTGGATCAGCCAAAACAAACACAATTACCTTCACTGTTATTATGAAGATTTCATTCCAATCTTATTACAGAGATTAAACTTGTATCACAGAGCAAGAGAGTGAAAAATAAAACACTACCCCTAGACAGAAGAAATTTATGTGAGGTCATTTTGTGTTTGGGTGCCCCATTCAAGTCCCATACAATTGATGTACTCCCCTCCTAAAAATATCTACATTTCCCACTATTCTTTCCCTATTAAAGGAATATTTAGTTCTCAGTCATGTGCCCATCTTTAAATTTCATATTTTGTGTGGCTTTTGTACAAATATCTTTTCTAATAAATGTGTATGTTGTTTTTTCTGTTAGTCTGTCTGTTATAAATTTATTTCAGCTTACTCTATTATTGAGCCTTCAATAGGAAAGATTGCATTTTCTGATAATTCCTTCATTAAACTAATATTTATTGAATGCTTACCATGGGTAAAACTCTGTTAGGTTGATCAGAGGCATTCAAGGGGAATGTAATCCCCAGTAGCCAATGGGTTATTCACATATGTTGGTATCTACTCATCTGACTTTAGAATCCCTTTACACTATGTAGCTACAAAGATAATTATCTTTTCCTGTTCTTCCCTTTTCATCTCTCCACCTTCCGGCCTCTTCCTGCATTGCCCTTTATTTTCTTATATGTATTTTTTCCTTTTATCTTTTTCTTACTTATCACTTAAGAATCCTTTATTCTGTCATAATATCTAACATATGGTTAGTACCAGATATAATCTTATAGAATGAATGTACATATAATAGACTGAGGTCACACATGAATTTTAAACACTATAGAAATAGATGTCTACAAGAAAAGGAACACTCACACACATACTGTTTAAAAGTTCAGGCAAAATTATTTTCTTCTATGAACATTGTGACCTAAAAGCCTTTATTTCAGTAGTTGCTCAATAAATATCTGACTGTCCCATGCCCTAAAGTTCACATGACTGTTAGAAAAGCATTGACTGAATTTTGATAGATTTAAACTTAAAATGTTTTCAGATGGACTCTTCATGCATTTTGTAGTAGTTCTAAAATCTTTAAAGTCTAGGTGGCCACTGTAGCTTCATGACTTTTAAATCGTTTCTATTTGTTACTCCTCATGAAATGATTTTACAGATTGTTGGCTATTGTTTGAGACATTTTTGTCATACAGTTTTCTCACTGAATTTCACACTGATTCCTGCTGGAGGAGACTGGCCATACTGCATGTGTATTTTATTGTGTCATTATATACTTTTACAATGCAGAAGTTCTGGCCAAAGAGCTCAGCGAATTAAAGCACCTGCAATGTAGGTGCAGGGTCAAAGGATCAATCCTCAGGCCTGTTGGGCTGGCCCTGCCCCCGGGGCACACGCTGAGATAGCAGTTGAGACTGGGCATGTTGATACACACCTGCAATCCCAGCACTTGGGAGGCTGTAAACAGGAGAATCAGTACAAGTCCAATCTAGTAGTGAGACCCTGAACACCCTGTAGACTCTTCCCTAAAACACACACACATGCACGCACACACACACACACACACACACACACACACACACACACACACACACAAAAGCAGATAGGCCAAAGAAGTACTTTTATATTGCAGATAGGCCACTAGATTGGACTAACACATCTACACACTGAGCAACATCCAAGACCCATGGAAATGACCATTCATCTTGGAATGAAATCAGAGGTTATGTCATTCTCTGGTGTCTCTCTCCAGGAGAGTTCACTTCATAAACTGTATTGACTCCTCTAATATTTTCCTAGTACTTAGTTTGGAAAGTTCTTGCTGCTATGATCTCTATCTTCTGATCCCTGCCGGCCATCGGCCAATGATTCTGACTCATGATATCCATTGTAAATTAGAATTTTCAAAAAGCATTCTACCAAGAATTTAAAAAGAAATGAAGTTACAAAAATATAATAAACGGGGCCGGGGAGATGGCTCAGTAGGATAAGTGCTTGACTGGCAAATGCAAGGATCTGAGTTCAATCCCTGGTTCCAAAAAAAAAAAAAAAAAAAAAAATATATATATATATATATATATATATATATATATATATATATAGAGAGAGAGAGAGAGAGAGAGAGAGAAAAGGTTTAAGCATATGAACTCCCAATCCTTTTTTTTTGGTGCCAATTTAAATATTTATTGAAGACATTGCATTTTCACTTATAGTACAGTGCTTAAAGTGCAATGCTATGTTTCCTTGTGTACATGTTCCAGTATTCAAGTATTGAGAATGCCCAGTACTTTACTATAGCAGCTCAACTTTAACTGCTACAGAATTTGCTACAAATTTAGGTCCTTCAATTTTATTGGTTGTGGAAGAATGCTATATTTTTATTTAAAGTTGGCTTAATCAACCTCTTCAATGTTGGGTCCCAAGGAAGCACCACCAGAAGGAGGAGCTCCTCCACCAGGGAAGCCCCCAGGCATTCCTCCAGGCATGCCACCTGCACTCTGGTAGAGCTTGGTGATGATGGAACAGCTGGTGGAGTCATGACAGTTCTCATCAAGCGCAATACCACCATTCCTACCAAGCAGACCCAGACCTTCACTACCTACTCAGACAACCAGCCTGGCGTGCTCATTCAGGTATATGAAGGTGAGCGAGCCATGATGAAGGATAACAACCTGCTTGGCAAGTTTGAACTCACAGGCATACCTCCCGCACCCCGTGGTGTTCCTCAGATTGAAGTAACTTTTGATATTGATGCCAATGGCATCCTCAATGTTTCTGCAGTCGATAAAAGTACAGGAAAAGAGAACAAGATTACCATCACTAATGATAAGGGCCGTTTGAGCAAGGAGGACATAGAACGTATGGTCCAGGAAGCAGAGAAGTACAAGGCTGAAGATGAACTCCCAATCCTGGTCCCACAAACTTGAGTTGATGCAAGTTGGGTGTTTTTTTTTTTTTTTTTTTTTTTTTTTTTTTTTTTTTTTTTTTTTTTTTTTTTTTTTTTTTTTTTTTTTTTTTATTTTTTACTGACACATACTAAGTATACATACTTATGGGGTAAATGTGACATTTCGACACATATATACAGAATCAATGTATTTTTTTTTCTTTTACCAAGGATTGAACTCAGGACCTTGCTCTTACTGCACAGGCTCTGTACTGCTGAGTTATATCCTCAACCCTCAAGCTGTTCTGACAATAATTAACTTAGGTTTTAAGCCTTTTTCTTCTTTTTCTCCTAGTTTGAAATGGTAGGAATCATACACACAGTGACCTGGAAGGTTAGGCTAGGTGGTACATCTATGGGACCTGCTCAGATTCCCCAAAGCCTATGTCTAGAGCTTTTCTCTAACCACAATGAACAAATCACTCCCTAAAACCTGCCACTCTTATTTATCCATCTATTCAGTCCACAAATATTTTTCTTTTGTATAATTGTCAAATACATCATAATCATATGCTTTAAGGGTTTCACAGTATAATGTAGACCATCTCTGTACTCTAGTACTTATATGAAAAGAAAGAAAATCTCTCCTTTACCTCTCCCTACAATCATTTCCCTTAGTTTCAGGTCATATGGCTCTGGTACTAGGGTTCAGGAAGTCTTTCCTGAATCACCAACTTCATTTCTTCTCTCTTCATCTAATACCAGACAAGCTAATGTTTAAAATCTACTAAGTTCAAGGGATAGTAATACAGAGGTTCTTATAACCATACTTTGAGTAGGCTTAGTTGCAAGAACCTATACCACAACAACATACTGCAATGGATGTACAATTCAGATGTCAACCACATCTCCAAGAGATTCATCTGTAGATTTAAATCATGTTCCCAAGTTATCACACTGGCTCTTTCCAAGTTCCCAATATAACAAATCTGAGTAAAGTACAACTCAGAAACTCTGATGCAAGTTTAAGGTTCATTTTCTAAAGGAATGGAAAAGAAAATTGTCGAGTAAATGAATGTGTTAAAAAAAGATTAGAAGAATGACTTACTTATTAATTAATAGAATTAATTATCTTTGGTATAGTTTCATTAAAAAGTCATTATATGAGCAAGTATAGACCATTGTATTTGCTTCTTAATGAGCACTTTCACCAAGTGATATTTGGTTGGGCTGTTTCTGCTTTCTAGTGGACTTCAAAGGAAAAACACCATTCTCCTTTTTACATGTTCTCAAATGCCAGAGCCACAGGTAAACAGCAGTCATGAAGATTTGCCAGCATGTTTACACCTCACAATACCACTTACCAATTGAACAGTGGCAGGAGTAGGGTACTGAGCCAATGTCTTTAAACAGTCTGCCATTTTTTATTTGTAAGGATATTTTCAAAGACGTACAATTACCATTTTTATAATTTTGTGCCTTGTTTAAGAATTCATGGCCTCCTGATGTTTCTCTGCAGTCTGAACAGTTTTTTCTCTGCTCATATTGTCAGGTAAACATTGTGAAAGTATGTTTAGAGCACTGTAAATGATGTCCTAGTGGGAAAACACAGCCTGAACTGATAAGTACAGTGTGCTGTTAATGAGATAAACTATTAATGAGAGCATTATGACACAGGCAAGCAGAGCACTTTGAAGCTTGAGCTATGTGTATCTTTTGAAATTGTTTCTATTTCCAAAGGCAGAATTTATTACTTAAAAGTGTTACATATAATGTACCTCTGTTCTGGTTGAGATGCAAAGTGTCCCCTAAAAGGTTGATTATGTTGAAGAGCTGGGTTGCCAGTTGGTGGGCTTCAAAGAACTGAGTGGATGATGATAGCTCTAACTTCATCAAGTGAATTAATCCACTGAGGAGTCAAATAACTAAATGGTTCCTTCTGCACTAGCTCATCCCGTAAACTCCCTCTGATTCTTGGCTGCCATAAGGTGAGTTTAGCTCCAGCACACCCTTCTTCCATGATATTCTGCCTCACCACAGACCCATAGCAATGAAGCCAGGTGACCATCAACTGAAATTTTCAGCCAAAACATATTCTTATTCGTCTAACTCATTTTATTCTCCAATATCCTGTCACAGAAGCATAAAACTGACACACACAGCCTGTAAAACATTCTTCCTTCAGTACTTCTGAATAGTATGGGAAGATAAAATTTCAATTTAAAAACCAGGCTCACAAAGAAAGCAAAAGAATCTCTTTATAGATTTCCTGCAATTTATAAACAAAACCAATGCTATCTGCATAGAGGACAGGACTGAGTGGCAGCTGATAAATAAACAAATATTAAATGATTGAGCAAAACATAAAATATAATTTCATGTCATGCTAATTGTCCACATGTGTACGACCTGATCATCAAAGACATCAAGATATAATTTCTAAATGAGAACATTAGCATTTAGTTTATAATCAGTAAGGGAATTAGAATCAGTAAGAGATTAGAGGAGGAATAAAAAACTGCAAGAAATAAAGTAGCTCAAACTCTAGATTTGTTAACACATCTATGAGCAATGAAGTAATAATCTGTTAAAACAATTTTACCTTCCCTCAGAAGTTAACTAAATTTTATTTTACTTTTTTCCCATAATTTATTGATAAACAAATAGCAATGAGACAGTTTCAAATCAAATTGGTAGGACAGTATCAAAAATTCACACATTGCATCCATTCTTCCTAGTGGTTAATTGCTGTACAAGATGC